GTTCACTCTCTCACTCCACAAAGATATACTGAGCACCCACTATATCCCAGCTCCCTTCTAGGTGCCAGGGACACTGCACCAAACAAAACAGGCCAAATCAAGTCAGGGTGCTCATGGTCCAGGGGTCCATTCATCTGTTGACAGACTGGCTCAGACTCCATGCTCATCCTACTGCTGTCTCCCACCGCCACCCAGGCTGAAGGACCTCCACCATCTCTTCTCACTTCTCACCAAGCTTCATGCCATCTCCCCCAGCTAGACAGAGTGGAGCAGAGAGCTAGAGTGGCAAAGGGAAGCCTGACTATACCAGGGACTGAGGGGTCACCAAATGGTCTCAGAGTGATCCCTGCTCCTGGGGACTTGGCTTCGGCAGGGAGACAAGACTAAGAGGCCCGGAGCCATCAGAGGTGCAGAAGCCAGGAGAGTCTGGGGTCCAACAGCATTAGCACTCCCTGAGAACTTGTCAGAAATGCAAATTCCAGACTCCCAGGGATTTGTTGGCTTCCTGCAGACCTACAGATTCCAGACCTATTCCTCCAAAACCCTGGAGGTGGGAGTGACCCCCCCACCCCCGCAATCTTTAACAATTCTTCCAGGTGATTCTGCAGCCAACACCAGCAGAATTTGGGAACCACTGTCCTAAAGAAAGGGCATCAGGCTCATCTGGGGAATTTCTTCTTCATAGTGATGCCCAAGTCTCTGGCTCCCCCAAGACCTGGATGCGATGGTATTTTTTTCTTTCTTTTTTTTTTTTAGATTGATTGATTGATTTATACAAGCACTGGGCACAGTCAGAAGCGCAGGAGGATGAGAGAATTCACCAGAGCCAGAGCAGGGAGCAGAACAGGCAGAGTGACGAAGTACACTGCTGAGGGGAGCAGCGGGTATGGCAGGAGAGGTCTGCTGCGCCACCAGGGGAGGCCCCTGATGGTATTTTTTAAGCACTCCCCAGGTAATCATACCACCCAGTCAGGGCTGTGGTCAAATGGAACAGTCCCCTGGTTTCCTGGGAAGGTGTCCCTGATGGAGAAGCAAACAGCAAGGGTTGGAAAGAAGGAATAGGTATCTGCTGGCATTCCTGGATCCCTGGTACCCATGGTGCCACATTTTACTTTGGGACCTTCTCTGTGTGGATGAGTCAACTAGGCAGTCTGCCCTGGCCCTGCCCTACCCCCAAGGAAGCTGCACCAGGGTAGAATGCTCAGATCTCATTCCTCCTCCTCACGCCCACAGTCAAGAGCAAGGAAAGCAAACTGGCCATGTATCTTTCTTTGGCCCCTCTCGGTGGCTCATTGCTATTACCCACTGCTCCACCACACCACAGCAAAGCACTTCCTGTGGGCACGATAAGTCCCAGATCCTGCCCTATCACTGGGTTTTATCTCTGCTTTCAATGACATCTCAGCCAAGCCTGATGCAGAGTGGAGGGACAGGCAGCAGGAGGCCAAGGAGAGCCATGTGTCATCAGTGGGTAGTAAGTAGCCAAGACAGGTGCTACCCAAGGAATCCCAAGGGGCAGGGCAGGGGTGGTCGAGATGCTACTGGCATTGCCAAGTCCCTTATGCAGCTGTGTTAAATGAGGAAACCAGGCTGGGTGTGGTGCAAGAGGGAGTAGTGGGGACGAGGGCACAGAACCTGCAAAATCCATGTAAGTCATTTCATGTGAAGATGTTGGAGACACAGGGAGGTCATGCGCCACCCATAGCCCTTTATTTCTTCTTTAGAGCTCCCTATTCCTCTATTTCTTCACTTGAAAATGAGAAATAAAGAAATAAGTGAGTTATAAATTAACCACAACCTTTTTTAGTATGGCGCTATATTCTAAGTACCATACATATATCACATCTTCACATACTTAGCCTGCACTACAGCATTGCTAGGTAGATGACACTATAATCCTTGCTTTCTAGGGGCAGAAACAAAGACACAGCAGGGTCAAGCAGCTGGCACAGGGTCACAGAGCTAGTAATGGCAGAAGTGGGATTCCAAGCCAGGCAGCCCAGCCCCAAAGCCCATGCTCTCGACATCCGGCTAGGTGACACTCAGCGCAGAGCTCCATGCTCCATGGTGGCTATAGCTGTGTTGCTAGAAAAACTGCCTGGTGGCTCTAACAGGGCCAGCCTTTAACTAAAGCTCTACTGAGTGTACTTCAGCAGTCCCCTGCCACTCCCCCACATCCCACATCCCTGCCTTTCTGAAGCTCCTCCTGTGCTGGTACTTTTGCCAAGGATCTGGAGGCTTGCATTTGAGGGGCCGCCACAGATGATCCAGACTCACGGACATGGAAACTCCAGCCAAGAGGACCAGGGACAGGCCCAGGCATACAGCCTGATGAAACCAATGTGGGGGTCCTCTATGTTCTTCTCATGACCCTCACCACTGTCCCATTCCAACCAATGGTCCCCACAGCTGTTTCTCCACATCTGTGCCAATTGAGGGCCTCACCAGAAGTTAACCTTTGAGGTTTCCAAGGAGACCCAGGAAGCCTTGTCTGAATCCAGCTCCTCCCAGGGCCAGGCAGGGAAGTCCTCACCGGAGTCCTTTAGTCACCTGTGTCAGCCACTCAGGATAGTGGCCAGCGGGGGTGTGGCCCTGGGGCAGGTTTCAGCAAGTTCCCACCCTGTGCAGACCACCACATGCCCATACTTTAAGGGAAACCCTGAAGTGATCATCTTTAGGGATTGAGAACAACAATTTGGGAGTCCTTTGGGCCTGGGGCAGAATCCCTATCACTTCCAGGCTGCGAGATTCAGGCAGCTTGCTTATCTTCTTTGAATCATTATAATGAAAATAATAATTCCTACCTCATTCTAAAGAGTAAACACACAATAAATGTTGGCGACTACTGTTTATAACTAAATTTTATTATGTTTTCTATTATAGCACAAAAGAACAGATGAATATTCTAGTAATATCATAGCGTGTTGTTACACTCTCATACACACACAATTCATTTATACACACACCTAGATACTTATATCCTCATAACCACATGCACCAACTCCATTCCAAGTGCCCCACACAGACACCCCGCATAACGCCCCGACTCACCATGTACCCAGCACTGCTCCAGCCTGAATGCTCACAACAGCCTGTGAGGTGTGCATGCTTGCATCTCCCTCTGTTCAGGTGAGGACATGCACACCACACGCATGCACCCTAGGATGTGGAGGCCCTGGCAGCTCTGGGAATCCTGAACACCCTTCCCCTCTGTATCAGAGGAGGCCAACACAATTTCCACGGTCATCTCCAGGGCAGCCCCAAGCTGGGCCCCAAGTGCTGACTGCCCTCCATCCCTAGGACAAAGGCCCAAGCTGACTTTCATGACAGCTGAGGCTGGGGAAACCCCTGCTGCAGGCAGAAACCAAGTTGACTTTGAGAAGGAAGAGACAGAAGCCAGGGGGTAGCTGGGCCACTCCCTGTGGGGGCAGGTGCTAAGTAACTTTATAAACTCTGGCTAATGATGCAATTACAGCCATAAACAGCCTCGGGAGGGACCAGGGCCAGAGCCAGACCCTCACAGGGCAGCAAGGCCTGCAGAGGGTAAAGCCCCTCCCACCTGCTTTCCAGCTGAGAGACCGGAAGGGAGGCCTGGCTGGTGCTGGAGGTGGGCTCTAGGGACCACCACTGTCCCTGGATGGGCTCCTGCTTGCCCTGGCCCACCTCCTGCCCACCTCTGACGCTGAGTCACCAAGTATCAGCCCTCAGAAGCCCAGGTGGCTCTCCCTGGATTCATTGCTTACCTGAGCAGATGTCCCCTGCCCCGACCCCTGCACCCTTTTCAGGGGACCTGCAACCAGGACACCTGGGCTCACATTTGGCTCCACCTCACAGAGCTGAGTGGAGGATAAAACAGCACTACAGCTGTAACAGGCCTGTAAGCAACATCACCCCGCCCCCCTTTCAAGAGAAGCAGAGCACAGAGTCACCCCAAACAGCCCCTCATTCAAGCACTCTGATTCCCAGCCTACTCCACCCAGCAGCCAGGAAGCAGGCAGAAAGGAGCCAAGTGACTTGCTATTATTCCCATAGCTGGGAAACTGAGGCATGGTACAAGCACATCAAACTATCTGGCCAGATATCCAAGGCGGCCAGTCTGTCCCCTTTCACTGCCTCTTAAGAACCGACCTTTATTGTTGTCTCTTTCTCCCCTAGACTGTGATTTCCCAGAAGCAGGGTCTAAGGGCTGTCTCCCAGGCTGGACACAAAGAAGGCCTCGGAGTGAACAACTGCATTCTGATCCGAGCCGCCCCAAAGGAAACCAGAGACCAGGCCCCTACCTTCCCCCACAACTGCCCAGAGTGCCAGCGCTTGGGCCAGTGGAATCCCGTCCAGGGCGGGTGCAGGGACCTGAGCCCACATCCCAGAGGTGTCACCTGGGACCTGATCTCCGCCCAGTCCCCCTCCTGCTCGGCTAATGGGGAGAGGGGGAGGCCTGGGGTGGAATTAACTGACACCTTCCCGCGAACGCTAAACCAAAGCAGTGCGTTCAAGTTTAGTCCAGGAACTGCCCCATAGAAGCGTCCCCAGAACAGCCAGGTAAGCGGCCGCCGGCTGTGGTTTCAGGGGATGGGGACGGACCGGGCGCTGAGGGGCTGGCAAGGAACCGGGAGGAGGGAAGCCCGGACCGTGCGGGCAGCGCAGGCAAGCCCCGCCCCGGGCGCCCTCCCTTCCTCCCCGGGGGCTCCGGGCCGGGGCGAGCCAGGCGGCTGCGGCGCGAACCTGCTCGCGCAACCCCGAGCTGCTCGAGGCAGCCGTGCGTGAAGCCGGAGCGCGGGGCCGGGAGGGGCCGAGGGCGGGGGCCGGGCCGGCATCCGCCCGCTCCCTCCGGGGGACGGCGGCAGGAGAGCGGCTCGCGGTACCCGGGGGGGGGGGGCGGGGGGGCGGGGGCGGGGGGGCAGAGAAGATGCTCCGGCTTGGGGGGCGGAACAACCTGGGGCTGGGAGGCGCGAACTCAAGGAATAGGGGAAGGGGGCGTGTCTTCCGGGATTCGGGATCCAGACCCGGGGGCAGAGCTCGGGGGCGCGCACGGGGCTGCGAGCTCCGGCCAGAACAGAAAGAGGGACGCACGGAGGGTGAGCGCTGGGATCGGGGTTCTCTAAGCTCAGGGACTAATGCACGGGGAAGAAAAAGACCACGCTTGGGGGCATCGGGGAGCGCGAGCCGGGGCGCCCCTTCGAGAGGCCGAGGGGCGCAGGGGCGGGAAGGGAGGCCGGAGGGTGCTCCCACCCCCCACCCCGCAGCAGCCCGGCCCCCGGGGCGTGGCGCCGCTCGGCCCTCCCACTCCCCCAGACTGTCCCGGCAGGGCCGGGCCGGGCCGGGCCGGACTCGGCCCCCACACGCCGCCCCTGCCGCGGGCCCCCCCGCGCCCCCCGCCCGGCCGTGACGCGGGCGGAGAAGGAGCGGGCGCCGCGCCCGCACGTCCCTCAAACTTCTTGCAAGTTCACTCCCACGCCTCCCGCCCCTGCGGCTCCCCGCTCGCGGCCAGGAAGGCCCGTGCCCGCTCCGGCCCCTCCCGCCTGGTTACATAAGGTCGCCGAGAAGCCGCCCCCGGCCCCGGCCTGAAGGGAGGGCCCGGGGGGCTCCCGATCCCGCGGGCAGCGCCGCTCCAGCCACGCGCCCGGCGCCCGGAGGCTGCACCGCCGCGGGCGGGTGGCGGCGCCGCGCACTCGGCCCCGCGCCCTCTCCGGCCGGCACCCCCCCCCCACCCACCCACCTGTCTCCGGGCGCCCGGGCTGGGGGCCGGGGAGCCGGGTGGGGGCTCCGGGCCCTCCGCGCGCCCCCCGCCCCGGCCGCGCTCACCTAGCGCTGAAGGTCAGTTCGTCCGCCGCCCGCGCCCCGCGACTCCGGCAACTTGTCCCAAGTTCAGGTGTCCGGCCGCGAGCCGCTCCGGCCGCCCCCTCCCGGCTCCGCCGGCTCCGCGCCCCCAGAGAGGCCCGCCCCGTCGGGCCTTCCCGCCGCCGCTCGCTCCGCCGCCGCTCGCCGCGTCCAGCCGGCTGCCGCCGCCTGCGCTGTCACCGAGCCCCGCGCCGGGCGCCCCGGCTCCCGCTGTCACTCCGCGCCCACTTCCCGCCGCGCCCGGCAGAGGGCAGCACCCCCGCCCGCCCCGCCCCGCCCCGCCCCGCCCCCGCCGGTCTGCCGCGGGGCCCGCTGGGCAATGTAGTCCTCACGGCGGCCCTGCCGGGCACGCCGGGATTTGTAGTCCGGCGCCGTTGGGCCGGGCCTGTCCCACACTGGCGCTTGGCGGCTGACTAAAATCTTTGTTCGCTTTGTTTCTGCCCCGTTGCACGCTTCCTTTCCCGTCTCAGCCGGTGATGTCCCTGTGTCCTGTCTGACCCCCCCAGGGGTGACTGCCCCAGTTTGTCTTTGTCAGAGTCTAGGAAAGATGGAAGCTCCAGACGGTTTGCTCGTGCCTCAGAAACTCCCCCGTGGCGAATGTTAGTCGCCCTCCGGGTTTGCAGTGGGAACCTGACCTGGAGCTTGCCTGTTTACCCCTGCCCCAAGCCTAAGAGCCGAGGCTGGGTCAGCCAGGGGCCCGACAGGGTGGAATAAGACTGTAAAAGGGAGGGCCTCCCTGGTGGCGCAAGGGGCTTGGCACAGCGCTATGAAGCAATCCGCAGCCTCTGCAGCACGAGTTCGATCCCCGGCCGGCCAGGGAGCGACCCACATGGCGCAGCAGACCTCTCCTGTCTCACCCGCTCGCTGCTCCCCTCAGCAGTGTATCTCAGTCAGTCTGCCTCTTCTGCTCCCCACTCTGTCTCTGGTGAATCCTCTCACCCCCCCACACCTCTGGCCTGAACCCCAGTTCTTGTATGCATAAATAAAGAAATCTTAAAAAAGAAAGAAAACTCTTCTAGCATAGTTTTTTTGGGTTTTTTTAATGATTTATTTATTTGTTTGTGCATACAAGAACTGGGGTACAGGCCAGAGGTGTGGGGGTGAGAGGCTTCACCAGAGACAGAGTGGGGAACAGAACAGGCAGTCTGATTGAAATACACTGCTGAGGGAAGCAGCAGGCAAGTCAGGAGAGGTCTGCTGGGCACTGTGGGTAGCTCCCTAGCCGGGGATTGAACTCGAGCCATCGTGGTTATAATTCTGAGACTTAACCCCTAGGCCATTAGGGAGGCCCTCGAGCAAAATTTATCAACAGACAAGGAGACAGAGGCCTAGATTTGGGCTGTCTTAGACCTCCTAATCACAGTGCTAGTGGACAGTGTGAGTCCTCGGGTCACTGGGTGGTTCTGATGGCAGCTGATAAATCAGGTCAGCAGAGCATGTCGCACTGTCACAGTTGGGCTCCCTGATCCCTGGACCATCGCAAGGAATGCCCTGCCTTAGGGTGACTACCCGTCTTTCCTCTCCAGGAGGAAACTAGGAAGAGACTCCAAGCTCTGAGGGGTACAGGACCCATCCCTAAACCCTACTTTATGTACCATTCCTTTTAGACTCTCAGTGACCCATGTGCAACTCAGGGGGAACACGATCCAGCAGAGGCAAATTTGCTCCAATGCTCACTCCCCACCCCATGGCCAGTTGCTGCCTTATGGGCCACAGTTCCTCGAGAAAAACAACAGGCAACCAACATTGAGGAAACTATTTATTATCAGGGAAAGTCCAGAGTCCAGAAAAGAAAGATTGAATCCAGAGAAGCACAGAAAGCAGCCCCTGCGCAGTAAGGGGCCAAGAAGAAGGAGGGAGCCCAGGCATCTGGGCACTGAATCTAGACAGCTGTGGCGAAGCCCACCCTGTTGTTGCCCAGGTCGTAGACGGAGTAGTAGGACCTGAGGAAGACGTCCCCGAGGATCCACAGGGGCTGGCCATTCGGAGAGGGCAGGTAGGTGGGCATGACCCCCACGGTGCAGTAGCCATTGTTCTGTGTAACACAGAAGAGCCAGGCTGGTACATCTGTTCACTCATGCCCTGCCCCGAACCCCGGGCCAGGGGCACAAAGGCAGAGGTGAATGAGCTTAGGTCTGTGCCCTTAAAGCTTCACAGGACGTTGAGCCACCAGAGCAGGGGCTGGCAGGAAGGATGTCTAGGATGGGTGAGCGTGGCTCTGATGGCCTTCTGGGGCGGGGGGTCTTGTCTCCCTGGGCTCTGCCAGTCTCCTTCCTGCTCTCAGTTGGGAGCAGATCTGCCTGGTGGTTCAGCCTTGAAACCAGACCAACTTGGATTCCAACATTAGCTTCCCCCTGACTAGCTCTGTGGCCTTGAGTCAGTTACTTCACCTCTCTGAGCCTCTATGTTTTCGCTTGTAAAGTAGAAATTAGTATCCCCGCGCTGAAGGCTGTGACAATGGTAAGTAATTCACTGAGTACTCAAAAAAGAGCCCAGGACCTCTCCCCATGATTAATAATCATGATAATGCATTCCGGTGCCATGGAAAGGGGGTTTCAAACCAATGAATAGGGGCAGAGGGGAGCAAATTAACGCTGCAAGGAGTTGGAAAAGGCACAACCAGCATCTCTGTCTCCCCACCCCTGCCTCCCATTCCCAATCAGGACCCTGCAGGGGTCAGGACTTACGTTGAGGATGTAGGCGGAGGGCGGCAGAGGGAACTGCACACCACTAATGATGAAGGTGAAGGTGGGCAGGTTCGGGATGTTGTTACAGTTCACGACAAACTGCAAGGAGGAAAGGGGTGGGGTGGCCTCATCTCGCACCCTGGAGTACCTGACAGCCCCGCCACCATAGCCCCTCTGGTCCCGCTCACCCACTTGGTCCCATATTCCAGTTCTTTTACCTGGCAAGTATTTAATCGCGTTGCCGCTGAGGCACCAAGGCTCAGGTGAAATTCTGCCCCCTCAGCACAAACATCTACCTTCCCCGTCACCCCCATGAGCCTCCAGGCCCCCAGCCTGCCCACAGCTCCAGCCGTCCCAGGGCCTTCCTCCCCACCACCCCCTGCCCACCGCCCTCCCTGCTGCCTGGGAGCAGCTGGTAACATATATGGCAAGCAAGGATCAAGTAATTCCTGTGCTCCAGGGAGAAACCATAGATTCTTCCTGGTTAGCCTCTTCTACAGAAGGAGGTGGCCACCACCAACATACCTGTCCATACTGGTCCTGCTGGGCCCCGGTGGCCTCCAGAAGGGCATTAAAGTACTGCTGGGGCACGGTGAGCAGAGAGGTACCTGTGTCCACGACAGCCTGGCAGCCCTGGGAGCACCAGCCAGAGGCCTGGCCACCAATGAGGAACCTGGACAGGGATGAGGTGAACCGCCTCAGCACCCCCAGCTCAGAGCAACTCTCGGCTGGGATTTTCCTACCTCAGAGGGACAAAAGCTACAGCCACAGAGTCAAGGTGCACCTTTGGAAGATAAGGACCCTGCAGAGGATAATCCAGCTATCCCCCCACCTCACACCATACCAGAGTCTAATCAAGGCCACCTAAAAGGCCATGGAATCTCTTTCTGTAAAGTGCCAAGGAACTGGGCCTCCCCGGTGGCGCAGCGGTTGAGTGCTGGGTTGCAAAGCTGCCCGCAGCCTCTGCAGCGCCGGTTCGATCCCTGGCCACCGAGTGAGGGTCCCACATGGCGTGCAGACCTCTCCTGCCGCCCGCTGCTCCCCTCAGCAGTGTATTTCATCAGTCTGCCCGTTCTGTTCCCCGCTCTGTCTCTGGTGAATCCTCTCACCCTCCCGCGCTTCTGACTGTACCCAGTGCTTGTATAAATAAATAAATAAATCTTTAAAAAAAAAAATGCCAAGGAACTGAAAGCCAGGGATATGGATTGATTGTCAGTACTTTGAGGACATTAGCCTATCCCACCCCAGTTTGTAATCAGTAATCCTATGGGATTGAACTGTGGGGTCTTTAATGTTTGGGGTTCCAAGTCCCACCCCTTCCTAAGTTGTCCTTAGCCCCTCCTCTCCAGCTGAACTGGGTCTTGGAACTCCAGCAGAGGGCAGCTGTGGCTTTGTGGGGGACCGGGCTTGGGGGGGCTCTGTCGCACGTTCCCAGCAGAACCTGGATGCGATTTGCCCCAAAGCCAGCTCTAAGGAAGTGCCACCTCCCCAGGGCCCCATGGCAGACTCACTCCTCAATGCCGATCTGCCAGTAGAGCGCCTGGGTGACGGGAGTCCAGTAGATCTGCCCAGTGTACAGGCTATTGTCCACACCCCCAAAGACGACCGCTCCTCCATCCTGAGAGCCCTGCTGGCTGCAAGAGGCCAGGGAAAGGCGAGTCAGGAGTGACTGTGGAAAGATTGCCTTGTGGAGCAGTCACCATCAAGGGGAAAGAGGTCCTGCCCTGGTCCAGAGTCGGGGCTCCCTGAGGACAGGGCTGTGTCTTTCCTCAGACTGGGGCTCCCTGAGGGCAGGGCTGTGTCTCCCCCCTCAGACTGGGCTCCCTGCAGACACAGCTATGTCAGACATTCTGCTGGGATTGGAGTGGGGTGGGGCCTTGCGAGGGGTGGGAAGGACACTGCCTATTTGTTTCAGAGGCCTCCCCTTCTAGGCAAATCTGAGTGTGGAACTAGGCAGAGAGCTCCTAAAGGCTAAACTCGGGATAATTGTAAGCAGAGGTAGAAAAGTCAGTCAACAATACTAGAAACAAGATGATCTTGCTGAAAGTCAGATTCAAGGATTAAGCCCCAGAAGGTAATAGCTGATTATCTCTAGAAGGTGGTTGGCCAATTCTAGAGAGGAAAGAAGGAAAATCCACCTTGAGCCACTGATCCCCTCCCACTGCCTGCTGCAGCCATCCACATTAAATCACTGTGTTTGCTTGTTAGGAGTTAATGGTGGACCTAGACTCGAAGACTCCAGGGCCTGGGTAGAACAATAGATCAAAGGAGATGAAGCAATGGATGACTTTACAAAGAGGTGTCCAGATAGAAAGCATTTGCTTGAAAGGAAATGAGCTAACTGGGTTGTGGGAAGGAAGTCAACCCCAGAGGTACCTCCGTACCTGGCAACAACACTCAGACAGAGTGAGGTTCAGCCAGAAGAGGGAGAGACTGTCCTGGCCAGGAAATGCAAAGAAAAGTCAGATTGGATTGGGGACAGATGCAGGGATGAGGAGAGGGCATGGAGCGGTGCAGGGGGAAAGGCCCTGGGACAGGGGAGACCAGAGTCAGTGTCTGCCAGGAGGCCGTCAGACCCCCAAGCACTGCACCCCAGTTGTCCAGGGCTACAGGGGCGTGGGCTGGGAGCTGAGGATCACCAGCTGGTTGCTCACTTGCTGAGGTAGAAGCTGACGACTGGGCTGGTGAGGGCACCCTCCTGCAGCATGCCCTGCATGGCAGTGGTGGCCCCTCCCATGGCCAGGGCAGGGTAGGCCAAACCCATGATGCCGTCAAACTTCGCGTAGACAAAATTGGCACCAGGCTCATTCTCACTCAGGCCAAACTCCTGGTGGGGGACCTGGATACCCTGAACCTGGAGGGAGCACAGAGGATGGGAGTTGACAAGTGAAATATCACCCATCACCCTCAAACTCCACTGAAGACCCTTCAAGCTTCCATTCTCCATCCCGCTTTCGGCTCTGCTCCCTCTCTTCTTGTCAGGTCTGGCAAGAGATGCTCTCATTCCCCACGGCTGCAGCGCTGCCCCCACCTTCCTCATCTCTTAATTCCCCAGGTGCTAAACCCCTTAAGAAGAGGACAGGGCCACCCCCTTCATCATGGTATCTCAGGGCCTGGCCACACCTGATGGCCCTCAGTGACAGTTCGATGAATGAGTGAAGGATCCCTAACCCACTGGTTCCCTGTCCTTCCAGGGTTTTCCAGGGCCTCTATCTGAGTCTCCTCACCAAACTCTGAGACCCTGCTTAGAATCCAGCTCCTAGCCTGGGCTACCTCCCCCACACCCTGGGGTGGGGAGCACTCACAGTCAGAGTGTCGTAGCCGAAGAAGCCGGTGAGGCTGCCGCTGCCGTACTGCAGGGAGAAGGTCTGCCCATTGGTGGAGTAGGTGGAGGACTCGCTGGGGTTGAAGCGGGCGTGGCCGGCTGCAGGGGAAGGAGGACTCTGGAAGTCAGGCCAGCCAGTGGGAGGCTTCCACCTGTTTCATATCCTGGGGCCTCAGCCACCCCCTAGTTCCTACCCACAATCCCACCCTCAGCCAACAAGTTGCGGGGCGTGGGGGCAGTCAGAAGAGGTTTCTGGCATTGGAAGGCTCATGGGAACTGACCAACCTTGGCCCCAAAGCCCCCTCTGACTTATAAAATCTTGCGGTGTCCTTGGACTGGGACCTCCCTATGGAGAGGGTTGTATAGATTCTGTTTCCCTGTCCCCAGCCAGTGCGAAGAAATTACTCACCAGATGAAGGAGTGAATGAACCTCAGGGCACCCTCCCACCTCTGACCCTCACCCCATCAAGAAACTGGCCATCCCAGGATTCAGAGATAGCACAGGGCAGGATGAATCAGGGACCCTTTGGACCAGAGGTGCAGGACCCACACCAGGGTGTGGCAGGGACCACGGCCCTACACACAAGGACCACACCCTGCATGGTTCTCACATGTTCCAGGGAGGACTTAGTACGTGGTGGGGTGGCTCAGGATAGGAAGAATGTAGACTTGAGGGCAATGGAATGGAGCAGAATGGAGTGAATGGAGTAAAACGGAGTGGAGTGGAGCTGAGTGAGGTAGGTGGCTGGAGCAGAGGAAGGAATGTATATGAGTGAGCAGGGAAGGCAAAGCGGCCCCACCTCCAGGCCAGCTTCTTCCCTCTGACTTGGGCAGACCATGTGATCCTGGACATGTCGGTCCTCTCCAGGACTGAACTCCCCACCAGTTTCCAAGAAGCATGGTCCTTCCCCAGAGGGTGGGTGTTGGTGATCTGCCCAGCCCACTGTCCTCCCTTCGCCCCACACTCACTGCAAGCCTGGGTCTGGCAGTAGACAGAGGGCACCCACAGGTTGGAGGATCCGGTATCAAAAAGGACCAGGAAGTTCTGAGGTGGGGTCCCGATGCTGATCTCACCAAAGTAGGAAGCCTGTGAGGGGCCATGGGGCAGGCTGTTAGCTCTGGAGGGGTCCACGGACAATCAGGTCCAGCCTCCTCCACAGGCAGGTCAGGGAGAGACCAGGCCTGCCCCACGCTCACACCAGAAGCGGACCCAAGCCTGCCCTCCACTTGCCCAGAGCCCACAGTCCCTCAGCCCAGGCCTGCCCAGGGCAGCTGCAGAGGTCTCTGGACTGAGCTGCCTGGTCAGCAGTTTGCCCCTCCCCCCTTTGTCCCCCGAATCCTCCACCCCAGGTATGAGGTCCAGACTGGTAGGCATGAGAGAAGGGAGCCAGCCCAGAGGCCCCAGTGGGAGGGGCAGAGAGGAGAGTGCAGGTCCTAGCTGGGCCTGGCCCTCAGCCCCCAGCAGCAGGGAAGGGTGCCTCTGAAGCATCAGGACTCACATCCATGTAGTCCATGGGCTCGTAGGCCACACTGAAGTCACTGAAGTGGTACTTCTGGGCGGGGTCATACTTGTGGGTCCTCAGGAACCCCTCCAGCAAGCCCTTCTCCTTCAGGGTCTCACGGATGGACTTGAATTTCTTCAGGGGGACTCTGCAAAAGGGCTGGGGATCAGGGCAGGCCCTCCCTCGCCTCTCCTGCACCTCTACCAGTCATTGTCTGTGTCTCTCTCCTCTGTGTGTCTCTCTCCCCCTCTCAAACTATGTAACTCCGTGTCCCTGGCACTCCGTGTCCCTGTGTCTCTTGCCAGGGTATATCTCTGTGTCTCCTTTCTCCGTCTCCATTTCTCTATCTTATTCTCTGTATCTGTCTCTCCATCTGCACCTCTCTTTCCTCCCTGTTCTCTTTCCTTATTCTTTTTTCTTTTTCCCCTTTCTCTTCTAAGGACTGGCTCCAAGATTCAGAGAACAATAACCTTCACCCAAGCATGCATGCCCCCACTCCGTCTCAGGGGTCCATCCCACTCTGCTCTCAAGTAGCCTATAAATTCCTTCCCAGGAAGAAGTCAGAGACTTCAGACATAATCGTTCTCAAGTTATGTGCATTTTTAATAAAAGGGTTCAGTGGTGGCAAAGCTTACTCCTAAGAGAGGCCTCTAATAGGGCTATCCCAGGTACTGGCAGAATGTCACAGCGTAGGTACAGGGGAACAGCACTAGGCTGAGATTCAAAGACAAAGTCCTAGTTCTGCCACTGGTGCTAATTGCCTGACCTGGAGCCAATCGCTGCACTTCTAGGGAAGTTGACCTGAGTGGTCCGGAGGCTGGTCAGCTCTGGAATTGGGACTTACGAAGTAGAAGCTTCTGCCTATGTCACCCTAGGTTATTCTCCAGACCTGCTTGCTGCCATTGTCTAGGCAGCAGGTCCGCCCTGACCTTGCTGCAGACTTCAGAATTCCTGCTGCTTCTTTCCCCATCTTAATCCCCACTCCTTCAGGACCCTGCCTTCTCTAGAAGGTCTTGGCAAAACCCATTCACAGAGAGCTCCGGAGACTTGCTACTACTTGCTTGATGCTAACCACCTCTACGGAATTTGCATATTAAAAGAAGTTTCCAAGTGGAACCTTCTCTTCCCCTAAGGAAGCACTCTATTGTTGGGCTGGCAGGCAGGCCAGGAGTCCCCTGAGGTCCTGCAAGCCCTGCCACCTTTCTGCCGCCACCTCAACATAGAGATTACACTACTGGTGTTTCTGCTTAGATGATTTTGACATATGCCAAATAAACTTGGGGCCTTAAGAGAATTTCTAGCAAATATTTCTCTCTCCCCATAGTAACTGTTCCTTTAAGTGGGAGGAAGCTGCCCGTTGGGTAGTTATCACCCCTACTGTCTTGCTTCAAGTCCATCTTTTCTCATCAGAAGGAGGGAGAGACAGTGCTTCTCCCTGAGTTTCCTGAGGGTAGAGGCTGTAACTTCTCCCTCCTCTGGGTCCTGTTCTACATCAGCTCAGGGAACCTTTGCTGTCCCTAGCAAAAATTCCAGAGTAGAGACAGAAGGGCATCCCCTGGCCAGCCCAGCCCTCACACAGCTCCAGACTCCTGCCCAGGCTCCCAGCACAGGCCCCAGACTCACTTGACCACAGACGCCTCCAGAAGCTGGAGGCAGACCAGGGCCACCACCATCCACTTCATGATGCCGATTCCCATCTGGCCGCAGAGGAAAGCCACCCCAAGTGGTGCGGTCACAGTGGAGTGAAGGCTTGAGCTCTCCTTCTGCCTTTATACCCCAGTGCCAAGCCCAGCCTCAGCCTCCCTGACCTGGGCAAGCATGACCTCAAACCCAGGTGTACCTATGTGTCAGGTATCAATTATTTCTGTGTTTTCCCCTTGAGAGTGCAGGCAAAGCTTTCATCTTATTGACTTTGTAATACAAGCAGTGGAGGCCAGGAGGTGCTAGAGATAAGGGAGAACAAAGTGCCGTAAAAGACAGAGCGGCAAAGATTGCTTCTTGTCCAGGAACCAGAGGCATGCCGGGACCATTTGGGGGTGAGGGCAGAAAAAGACAGAGCCAGAGTTTGGGGTCAGAGAAACCTATAGGCAGGTTTCTCAACCTCGATGCTGCAGACCCTTTCGACCAAGTAATTCTTTATCATGGGGCCTGGCCTGTACATTGTAGGATGTTTAGCAGCATCCCTGGCCTCTACCCACTGGAGGCCAACAGCACCTCCAGTCGTGACAACCAAAATGCCTCCAGGCATTGCCAGATGTCCCCACAGGATTTGAAATTGTTGAGACTCGCTGGTCTCTAGGTGATACACTTGGAGGTCTGGCTCCAGACCTGGTTCCCAATACCTCAAGTAGGGTTAGCAGCTAGGGTGATGGCAGAGATAACAGTGCAGGTAGGGTCATGATGGTGGTATGCTTAGCTCTGACGCAGCTGGTGGGGCTGGGATGCCAATGGCTGATGTCTGAGCCCTCTGGGGACAGCTTTGGAGGCTTTCATGGTCAAATGGAGCATTTGGAGAAATTCTCATCATAATTCAGCAAGTGCTCTGGGCACACCCACTGTGTAAGCTGCTCTGGCTTCTGGTTGTTTCTCTCAAACTGATCTGGAACAGCAGGAGGCCTGGGGCCGGGCCATAGGAAGAAAAACCGTGTTTACCCCTAGCTTCTGTTTACTGCCTCTGTTCTCCCACCCCATGGTGATTCTGCCCTTGCGTTCTCCTAAAATGACTATATCCCCCCATTACTCTCCACCCAAGCTGTCATCTGCCCTTTTCCCAACCCCCAAGTCTGATCTATCCTATGCCTCTATTCCTCATCTCCAGGTCCTCCCTGCTTCTCCTTGCCTGAGGTGACCTGGAGCTGCTCCAGTGCCAGCTGACCCGGTACAGGAGAGGTCTCCATTTCAGGGTGAGTGGAAAAAGTCCCCATGCCAGTACCCTCTCTGCCACCTGGTACCCTGTTCTGAACACTCCAGGCTGATTTGTCAGGTCCCAGGTGAAAGGCCAGTGTCAGGCCTGCCAAACACTGATATAATCCAGCCAGTGGGGGATTTTCCTCCCTGGCCACAGCCACCCACTGTCCAGGCAGAGCCCTGAAACCTCCCCTGGACCTGTGATGGGGGAGGGGAGGGAGGGCACTACAAGTCTGCCCAGGCCTGGCACAGAGAGGGAGGCACCTGCCTGATTGTGTCTTCAAGCCAAATCAGCTCCCATTCCTCCCTGCAGTCCCAAGACACATTGGACTCTGGGATAGAAGTTGCAAGATAGGGAGGCCGGACTTTCCTGGGGTGAGGGGATCTGCAGATCTGGAAGAATAGGCAAAAGAAAACCATAAAATCCTTGGGATCTGGTGAGATCCTGGGAATATAGCAGAATCCAAGGGATCCCCTAGGTCTTGTGAAGCCTACCAGACTCCCTGGTATGGGCCTCCAGAGGTCCTTTCCTTATGTGGTAGGACTCTAACCTTCCCTAAACCCCGGTTATACCATCTCCCTTCTGAGCATCCCTGGCCAACTGCATTCAGCCAGGGGTCTGCAACCCCTGTCTCCCTAACTTGATCTGACAGTTCACTCAGTCTCTGAGGTGTCCCCTGAAGTCCCAAGCCTGCTCCCCATGCTTGGAAGACCCACTTCTCTTCCTTCTACATGTCCAGATTCTGCTCACCCCTCAAACCCTTTCCTCCTATGGCCAGGGATGTGCAAGTCATCCAGGGCCATCTCCCCCAAGCACAGAAGCCCCAGGAAGCACAGCAGTTTGGCTTCCACCCAGGCTCATCTTTACCCCTAAACGTGGCACCAAACTGGTGCCCTCCCTTTGGCATCGGGTCTTATATACCTAGGACAGACCTCCAGGAGATGTCTCCCCTCCCCAGAGACTAGACGCTCCTGAGGGCAGAGACTGAGGCTTCCATCTCCCTGTGCCTGGACAGGCGCCAGGGGAATCTTGAGCAGTAGATGGAGCCCATGGGGTTGTCCTCAGTGGAGCTTGGTGAAAGCTCCCACACTGGGGGCCTCCCTAGTGGTGCAAGGGGTTAAGACGCAACCTATGAAACTGTCTGCAGCCACTGCAGCATGAGTTCAAACCCTGGCCGGGCCAGGGAGCTACCCACATGGCACAGCAGACCTCTCCTGACTCGCCTGCTGCTCCCCTCAGCAGTGTACTTCAGTCAGTCTGCCTGTTCTGTTCCCCACTCTCTCTCTGGTGAATCCTCTCACCCTCCCACACCTCTGGCCTGTACCCCAGTTCTTGTATGCATAAATAATGCATACAAGACCCCAATGCTCTGACTTCCAACCCCATGCTACAAATTCCTCTCCTAGCACTTGCCTCTTAAAAAAAGAGACATTTTCTCTTCACCCTCTCATCTCATCTCCCTCTATGTACCACCTGCCACAAAACTCATCTAACAATCCCCCACCATGGTTATCTAATCCAAACTCATCACCCTGGCCTTCGGGATACCCTCAGTCTGCCCCTTCTTCTATATCCATGCTCATCTTCTATCATGTTATTTACCAATCTCCGTGCCTTTATCTGTGCTGTCCCTCCATCTGGAACACCCTTCCCAAATCTCTCCACCTGCAAAATCTCCTCATCCTTCAAGACTCAATTCAAATGCCACAGCCTTCCTTACTGTGCCCACCTACTTTCAAACTGGCCCTTATTGTGGAGGATTTTGCTTTTCCTTTCCTTATGGTATTTATTTCATACCATTTTATATCCTGGTGACTTACCCAAAATTCTACCACTTGTAACTAGTAAACAGAAAAAAGGCCTCTTGCTAATCATGGCTTTTTAACAGCTCATTGGTCATTTAGAGTGTCTACATAGTGGCCCTGGTTACTAGAAGTCTCTCTAGAGGAGATGCGGCTACATAGCATGCACACTGTCACTGTCCATCCTTTACTCATGGCAGACATCACTAATCAAATCAAATCACTCTTTCCCAAAATCCTGAGACATGGCTTTAGGTTCCTTCCCGTCTAGTGTTCCATGCCGCCCAATCATTCTCCATTCATCTTGAAATGGCAATCCCCAAACCCTTTAATAGAGGGTATTTTTTAAAATTCTGGATTCTAAATTTTATTTAGAATTCTATACATAAGCCACTTTGGAAAAATCAAGGCAACTTGAAACTGCAAAACTGCACCATTCTAAATTACCCTCTAGCTCTTATTGTACACATTTAGATTTTACAATAGCTACAATCCGTGTATAAACGCAACTTCTGTTCTGTTCTTGTCACTTAAGATTACTGCATACACATTTCCATGCAGTGAGATAAGCTCTGGAAACTTATTTTCTTATCACTTTCAGTGGCTACACAGTGCACTATCGTCTTAGTAGCTGGGATTACTTAGCCCTAATCATTGGGTTATTTCTGATTTCATAGCGCTATCAACAACATTAGCCACACAAATGAAAATTCAATCAAAGGAGAATTATGAGCACCTCATCACTAGAGCCATTCAAGCAGAGGCTAAAGGAATACCTTTAGAGCAATAGAGGTAGGGGGGTGTGAGATTGCACCAAAGATTGGAGCTTCTCTGTGTATTCTAACCCCTTAAATAAGTACTCAGAGCTGAAACACCTCATCTTAGCTCTGGGGACAGGTATTTCATAAACCTTAAGTCTTAGGCGATTTTCATGTGACTTTCAGTGACAACTTCAGCTGTTTTCCTGGTTGTATAGTCCTTTTCCTTAAATTTTATATGTATGTTTCATACTTACACCCATACTTAACTTCTGTCAACACACTGAACCTGAGGGTTTTTTTTCACATTCAAGGTTTTATGTTTTTATTTCTTTCTACTTTCATATCATTTTTGACTTAGAGAAAAGTTGCAAACATATGGAATATAGAGAGTTCCCATATACATTTCATCCAGATTATCCAGATAGCCCCTAAGATTAACATCTTGCATAATTCATAGTACAATGTTCAGATCCAGGAAATAAATCCTGATCTAATACTATGAACCAACCTAGAAATCTTAATTGAATTCCCCCAGTTTTCCCACTAACATCCTTTTTTTGGTTCAGGATTCACTCAAGGTTCCCCTGTCCCTTTAGTCTCCTCTAATCGGTGTCAGATCCTCAGTTCTTTATCTTTGATGACCTAACCACTCACTTCTAAAGATGTTCTGTTGTAGAATGTTCCTCTATTTAGGTTATTCTGGTGTTTTCTCACCATCAGATTGAGGGCATGCATTTTGTGTCAGCAACCACAGAGATGATACGCCCTCTCTATGCACGACATCAAGAGCTACCTGATCTGGATGTGTCTTATTACTGTTGACTTCACCTTACTAACCTGCTTAAGGTGAGCTCCACTAGATTTCTCGACTGTATAGTTATTTTCTTTCCCTTGATAAGTAATTAGTGTCTTCTGGGGAAATACCTTGAGACCATGCCAGCATTATGTCTCTCACAGTTCTTCTGCCCACTAATCTTAACATTTTAAAAAAAGATTTATTTATTTATGCATAGAAGAGCTGGGATACAGGCCAGAGGTGTGAAGGGTTAGAGAATTCACCAGAGACAGAGTGGGGAACAGAACAGGCAGACTGACTGAAATACACTGCTGAGGGGAGCAGCGGGAGAGTCCGGAGAGGTCTGCTGCGCCATGTGGGTTGCTCCCTGGCTGGGGATTGAACGTGTGCTGCAGAGGCTGCGGACAGCTTCATAGGTTGCGTCTTAACCCCTTGCGCCACCAGGGAGGCCCTAATCTTAACATTTGCTAATGGAAAACTGCCTGTAGTAGTTATGATGGTGTTTGTCTAAAGGAGCGTTTCTATCTCCACCATCCTTCTGCATTTATTAAGTGGAAATCTATTATAAGGAAGAGTTGAATTCAAGGTTTTAAAGCGAATGCTTCCTTGCCAAAATATCCCCTTGTGGAACTCATGCCACACAGGAAGGTGCTTTATTTTTGTTTAATCACACAGCCCTCATAAAAATGCCCCACGATAGATTGCCTTATCCCCTTTCCACACAGGGGTCCACTTTAGCTGTCTAGATCTCTAACATCTGGAAATCAATCTCTGCATATAAATGGATAAACAGACATCATTTTCCCCTGGTCTGTCAATTAATGTGCCTTTGCATATAGACGACTGTCTGCTTGTCAGGCCTAGGTGGATTGGGGGATGCCCTGGATGGATGGGGGAGGGGCTGTCACATTGCAGTCTAGTTTCAGGAAGCGGGAGGATGGAGCAGAGCCTTGGGGTTAGCTAGAATCTGGGACCCAAACACCACTAGGACCTTTTCTCTGCTTCTTCTTCCTACTCTGCTCTTTCCTCCCCCTCCTATCCTCCTTTTCCCCTCCTTCCTCTTCTCACCCTCCTCCCCTCTCCTTTCTTCTCCTCTTTCTCTCTGTAGGCTGACTTTCTCTTCCTAACTGACCACTCGCAGCTGAGTTTTAGACTCCAGAGAAAGAATGAAACCAAAATTCTCAGGGAAGTTCTCTGATTGGCCCATCTTGACGCAAGTGCCCACTCCTGAACCAATCACCGTGACCACAGGCAGGAGCCTGCAAGCATTTGGCAGCTCCCTTGGCAAGCATTTTGAAAGGCAAGGGCCGGGACAGTTCCCAGAAAAAGTAAGGGATGACTCTGCGCAAGGAATCTTAGAGCTGTCCATGCAGGTTTGTCCCTGATGGCATAGGGACCCTGCTTCTAACTTGTCATCCATCCCTCTGCACATAATGAAGAATGTGCAAAGTGACTTGCAAGTTACTTGCACTTGACTTGAGAAGAAGTGACTTGCACAGTCTCCACCTCTAACTGATCCTGGACAATTCACCTCCTGTCTCTGAATCTGAGACTCCTTGACTGTAATGTGGGGATAATAACCCTGCCAGCAGGATTGCTGTAATAATTCGATAAGACCATGCTGACGAGAGTGCTA